AAATGCAGCAGAATTAGGGTCCTCGTTCATAAAATCTATGGCAGATAATTTTGTTTAGTAGAGAGGTGATGTAGTGATGGCTTTAATATAAGAGGCAAAAATAGGTGAGAGATGTAGGAAAAAAGTTTATAGAATGTATTTCTTAATAGTTTAAATAAATAAATCAAAATTCAACAACACCAAAAATTTTCTATTTTTAATAGTTTAAAAGTTCAAAATGTTTAAGTTGCAATATACAGGCTTGATCAAAGTGATAACATTTACCGCTGGTGTGGTTAATTTTGATTAAATGCCACTACTGAGAGCGGGCACCAGTTCCTCTTTCACTTGGCAAATAAATTTGGAAGCAGTGTGGCTTAGGAAGATGCAGCATCTTCCAGGAGATGATTCAGAGAATCTTAAGACAGTCCACTTGCTAGTTAATATTTTAGGGAAGGATTTGAGACTTTTATTCTTTTTTGAGAAGAAAAAGCTGCTGAATTTTAAAACTGAACAGTATGGTATCATCTTGGATACATGAAAAGAAATCCTCTTTAATAGATGAAGAAAAAACTGTCATTTCCTCATAGGTTAAACTTATTCTGAATATTCTTGTGCCCTAGATTTTCCCTCAACACTCAGTACAGGTTTTGATCTTAAAGTTGTTCTTTTTGATAATCAGAAATAATGAATGTAACTGCAGTAGCTTCATACAAAGTAATTACACTGGCTTTGGCAGTACTTTGGAACTCCCCAGTATCAAAAACTATTAAAAAACATAGGAAAAAATACCATGAAGGGTACATAAGAAGTTTCCTTTCTTCCCTTTGCATTTTGCCTTATTATTTCGCCTGATGATGTTCTGCACAGACTTTGTTTTGTTTACTTCCCTACAAGCATGGTATGTGTATAGAAAGCATAATTATTGGTGCCTGGAAATTAGTCATTGCCCTATCGGTCTTTGAGGGACTTGACTCAACAGTGACACCTAGAATCCTGTGCCAAGCCACCCATTTGTCCTGCCTACCACTGAAAGTCATCACAAGGTTTCCAGCTTAGGACAGCATGATGAGTGGGCAGCCTCCTGGGCTAGGGGGTTACGCCAGCGGTGTTTCATAGAATCATAGTATCATAGAGTCATAGAATCATAGAATGTTTTGGGTTGGAAGGGACCCCTAGAGGTCATCTAGTCCAACCCCCCTGCAGTGAGCAGGGACACCACTAACCAGATCAGGTTGCTCACAGCCCTGTCCAACCTGGCCTTAAATGTTTCCAGGGATGGGGCCTCCACTACCTCTCTGGGCAACATGTTCCAGTGTTTCGCCACCCTCTTTGTAAAGAATTTCTTCCTTATATCTAGTCTAAACCTACCCTGTTTTAGTTTAAAGTCATTACCCCTTGTCCTGTCACAGCTGGCCCTACTGAAAATATTTTCCCCATCTTTCCTGTAGGCCCCCTTTAGGTACTGGAAGGCCGCAATCAGGTCTCCCCACAGCCTTCTCTTCTCCAGTCTGAACAACCCCAACTCTCTCAGCCTGTCCTCACAGGAGAGGTGCTCCAGCCCTCGGATCATTTTTGTGGCCCTCCTCTGGACCTGCTCCAACAGGTCCATGTCCTTCTTGTGCTGAGGGCTCCAGAGCTGGACGCAGTGCTCCAGGTGACTCTCGATCCTTTCTTCCCCCAGCCTGTAACTGATACTGGGGGTTACCCCGACCCAGGTGCAGGACCTTGCACTTGGCCTTGTTGAACCTCATGAGGTTCACACAGGCCCACCTCTCCAGCCTGTCCAGGTCTCTCTGGATGACATCCCGTCCTTCTGGTGTGTCAACCGCACCACTCAGTTTGGTGTCATCCGCAAACTTGCTGAGGGTGCACTCGATCTTGCTGTCTAAGTCATTGAAGAAAACGTTAAACAGCACCGGTCCCAGTATGGACCCCTGAGGGACACCACTCATCATCGGTCTCCATCCGGACATCGAGCCATTGACCAGTACCCTCTGGACCATCCAACCAATTCCTTATCCACCAAACAGTTCACCCATCAAATCCATAGCTCTCCAATTTAGAGAGAAGGTTGTTGTGGGTGACCGTGTCAAAGGCTTTGCAGAAGTCCAGATAGATGACGTCTGTTGGTTTTCCCTTGTCCACTGATGCTGTCACTCCATCATAGGAAGCCACTAGGTTCATCAGGCAGGACTTGCCCTTGGTGAAGCCATGCTGGCTATCTTGAATTATCTCCCTGGCCTCCATGTGCCTTAGCATAGCTTCTAGGAGGATCTGTTCCATGATCTTCCCAGGCACAGAGGTGAGGCTGACAGGTCGATAGTTCCCGGGGTCTTCCTTTCTACCCTTTTTGAAAATGGGCACAATATTTCCCTTTCTCCAGTCACCAGGGACTTCACCTGACTGCCATGACTTTTCAAATGGTACAACTTTGGCAAGAGAAATAGGAGGGGCAAAGAAGAGTTGTTGGAACAGGGTGAACATAAATGCAGAAACTGTTTGGATCTCTTCTAGCACTGCCGCAGGCAGTGCTTCTGCAGTTTGTTGTCCCCAGAAGACAACAACCAGAAAGAGCCTATGCTGGAGTCTGACGCTTATTTTTATGGTAAGCCACAAAAAGCATCTTTGATGTTTACAGTAGGAAGCAAGATCAGAGTTGATCACACAGCTGCTGACAAGCTTCCCTGAAAGCACAGCACAATGAGGTTGCTATAGTCAAGAGTCTATTTCTGTTTCTGTTAGAATGAAGCTAATTTATTTTGTACAATATTAGGAGAAAAATCTTCAAAGTGAAGCCTGGAAAGTTCCATTTCCTGCTTTCTGCCCTTGGTTAGCTGTCTCATAATAATAAGTAAAACTTGTGGTTAAATAACTAGCTCCCCAATACACCATGAATTTACCTTCCAGAAATTATATTTTGTTTAAGTATAATAAAGACTTTCTGAGAAGCTTGATTTTATTACTGTCTTTACTTAGAATAAACGAGGAAGAATGAACAAGGAGCCTATAAAAGCAGAGGAAGAACACTTTGAAAGCTTCCCCATCCCTCCTTTTCTAAGGCTCTGTAGATAACAACTCAGTGAGCACAGCACTTTCATAGCAAGTGAAAAAAATACCCAAACCAAGTATCAGTCTAATAAAAATGTCACTGTAGTTGAGTTGGTTTTCCTATGTTACAACAGGTCTGATATTAGTCAAAACCCAATCTTTTTGTAGGATATTTGAAAAATATGAACAGTTACCCATGTCAGAGCTAGTTAGGAGTTACACAGTGTCAGATTTTGAAACATCCAGGGATGAGTGTCTGGAGAGACACTTATGGATGTGCTGCAGCTACTGTGGAGCCTTTTAGAGTGCGAGTGTTCTCTTAAGACCATGGCAGGAGTCCATGCAGCAAATGGTAGAGGCCACTGAGTTATTCCAAGGCATTTTGATGCAAGTAACTGCTTAGTGAAAGAAATTACAGTGATAGATTAGTGTCAGTAATGTATAACTTCTGATTCATTCATTCATTTTTTGAAAAATGCTACTATATCACTTTTAACTTTGGAAATACTATTTTATTGTTTAAAAATATCAAATCTAAAGCCTTCAAAATTTATGCACAAGGGAAGCAGGACCTCCCTGTAGCCGCTGAAATGCTGTTGAGACAGGAAGAACGTGGAATTCACTCTCATCATTCTTGATGCATGTGATTTCTGAATCACCTGGTACATGGCAAGGAAAAGAATACTGGAAGAAACCACAGATATTAGTATTCTACATAATAAGAGGTCATTATATTTTAAGTACAGATTTGCATGCATGCTTTGTTGTTAAGCACCTGCATAAAGAGGTGGTTTAACACAGAGAACCGAACAAAGAACCGAACAGAGAACTGAACAGATTGGAAGATACCTACAATGATCATCTAGTCCACCTGCCTGACCAATTCGGGGCTGACCAAAAGCCAAAGCAGGTTGTTAAGGGCATTGTCCAAATGCCTCTTAAACACTGACAGGCTTGGGGCATCAACCACCTCTCTAGGAAGCCTGATCCAGGGTTTGACCACCCTCAATGCTTCCTCATGTCCAGTCTGAACCTCCTCTGCTGAAGCTTGGAACCATTCCCATGCATCCTGGCACTGGGTACCAGCAAGAAGAGCTCATCACCTCCCTCTCCTCTTCCCCTCCTCAGGAAGCAGCAAAGAGCAAGGAGGTCGTTCCTCAGCTTCCTTCTCTCCAAACTCAACAAGCCCCGAGCCCCCAGCTGCTCCTCACAGGACAGGCCTTCCCGTCCTTTCACTGGCTGTGTTGTATTAAAGCACCTTAACATCCCTCTTAAATTTTGGGGCCCAGAACTGCACACAGTGCCCAGGGTGGGGCCACACCAACGCTGAATACAGCGGGACAGTCACCTCTTTTGACCGGCTGCTTATGCTGTGTCTGATGCCCCCAGCATGGGGTTTGCCCTCCGGGCTGCCAGGGCACACTGCTGACTCCTGTTGGGCCTGCTGTCGCCCAGCACCCCCAGGTCCCTTTCTGCAGGGCTGCTCTCCAGCCACTCCTCTCCCAGTTTATGCTTGTGCCTCGATACTCTGTCTCAGGTGCAGGGTCCAGCGTTTGTTCTTGCCATTTATCGTGGCCCTGTGCTGCAGTCTGTCTAGATCCCTCTGCAAGGCCTCTTGTCCCTTGAGCCAACAGCACCTCCCAGTTTGGTATCATCAGCAAACTTGCTAATGGTGCATTCAGCTCCTGCATCCAGATCACTCATAAATACAAGGAACAGAACTGTGCCTAGAATTGAGCCCTGAGGAGCACCGCTGGTGACCGGCTGCCCTGCCCTTCAGCCAGTTCTTCACCCAGCACACGACGAACCCGCTCATCCCACAGTTGGACAACTTGTCCAGAAGGATGCTGTGAGGGACAAAATCAAAAGCCTTAGTAAAATCCTGAAAAACTACATCCAATGCCTTCCCTTCATCCACTAGGTGGGTGACCTTACCATAGACAGAGATCAAATTAGTCTAAGCAGGATGGGTACAGTGTGCCACCTAACTCTGCGGCTAGCTTATCCCTGCAGCTCTGCTGACCGTGTACCAAACCTTGCCTTTCTGTAATCCAGTTCGCCATTCACATTTTCCCCATAATCTGAAAATTTTAAGACACTTGTTAAGTCGTAGCTTAGCTAAGGGGGAAAAAAAAATCTACCTCCAGAGCCACCCAACAGATTAACTTTTTGATTTAACATGCAAATTTAGAAAAGCGAAGTGCACTAGAACACAAGTAGTAGATTAAATGATTGTAACAAGTGTCACTTGGGCTAATTTTAACACAAATCATCTCAGCAGAGAAAATACACTGAAGGAATTAAGTTTCATACTTCAAGAAGTAGCAGGATCAAGTATCAAAGGACAGATACAACACAAAACATACACGTGTTTCATTGAAAAAGTGGATTCCTTGCACAAGGAAGGCTTCCCCCCCCCCATTTAATCCTTCTTTGTTCGTTTGGCTTTTGCAATATTCTCTTGGCGTTTCTGTTTCTTCTTTTGCTCTCGCTCCCTGGCCTCAATCATTTTTGCAAGCTTCCACAAAAGCGCTGCGCTAATTACAAACAATGGTGTAAGGGCCAAGATCACTGTAGTGAGAAAGCCGTATGGGTCCTTTGCAGCCCACTCCACGATGTATTCGGCCCAAGCCTTAATATCAAACATTTGTTCTGGTTTTTTATTGGGAAAACCCTATGGAATAATGAAAAAATTATTTCTGAGTATTCCAAAAAATAACAGCACGCATAAACAGCAATCAGCGTTCTAATGTAAGCCACCACCTTTCACTACTGAAGAGCAAGCTCATTTTTGCTAAAAGTCAGAAGTAGCACACAGTATGTGAAAGTCAACGTAACACAGCCTAAGCGCTGTCAACCAGCACCCCCAGGTCCCTTTCTGCCGGGCTGCTCTCCAGCCACTCCTCTTCCAGTTTATACTTGTGCGCAGTGTTACTCTGTCCTAGGTGCAGCATCTGGGATTTTGACTTGTTAAATTTCATCGCGTTAATCATAGTTCAATGTTCCAATCTGTCTAGATCCCTCTGCAAGGCCTCTTGTCCCTCAAGAGAATCAACAAACACCTCCCAGTTTGGTATCATCAGCGAACTTGCTAATGGTGCATTCAACTCCTGCATCCAGATCATTGATAAATACAAGGAACAGAACTGTGCCTAGAATTGAGGCTTGAGGAACACTGCTGGTGACCAGCTGCCAGCCAGATGCAGCCCTGTTCACTACAACCCTTTGAGCCCTGCTGTTCCTCCAGTTCTTCACCCAGTGCACCATGAACGCACTCATCCCACAGTGGGAATTTCCCCCAGTTGCCCAGATGGATTTTTGCAATGACCCTTCTGTTTCACTGTCACAGATGAGTGGAATGTATCTCACTCAAAAGAGAGAAGCAGCTATATGTTTTATTGAGACAATAATTTGACAGAGTTCACTGCATTTGATGGAATTTAACAAAGTTTGACAGTAGTTTACTGAGGTTCAATAAGTTTGATGGAAAGGTTCACCTTATTAATGAAGGAAAATTGAGTTAACAGAACTCAAAGTTTAACAAGCTGTTAGTCACTTACTGAGGGTCTGTTGCGACAAGGAATCTCTCAATGTTAAGGAATAAGGAACTTCTCAACATTGAGGAGTAAGGGATCTCTCCACCTGAGGCAAGGAAGGATCTCTGGGTCTCAGGTGAGGAGGAATACTCAAGGGGAGAGTCACCTGGCAGCAGTCTAGCTGCAATTCAGGGGGAGCTCAAATAGGGCTCGTCCAATGATCCCCAATTGGCAAAAAGTCTCTCTGCCTTGAGTGAGGAGCAACTTTGAGAGGCGTCCCAGCACAAGGGGAGATCACTGCCATGCAGCCACGCTGCCTAGCAGGGAGAGCTCAAAGAAGGCTCGTTTAGCCTGTCACAGTTATGGGATAAAGTGGTGGGCTTGTAGACAAATCACATGCGATGGAAAGGTAGGCATGAGACTCTTTGTACCCACAACTTTCTTTGTTCCTTGATAAATGAGTCTTGGAGAAGCCATCTGTTATTTATGCATTAATCACATGATTGGTGTTCCAAACTCATACGTAGTGATGTTTATGGTGTCACACTGTTCCTCTGTGGGTTTTTGGAGAACAGGTCAAAACCAGAGGAGTTCTTGGCCCTGCTACAGCTCAGGCCTTTACCTCCTTTGGAGCCTGTACCAGACCACTTCTAGTTTGGTTAAGGGGTTGAACATATCCGTCACCTTCACATGCATTCAAGCAGAATATTTTAACTTGGCACATATTCTGTAGGCCAAGAATTACAAAAATTTGCCTGTGTGCTCATATCTCAGCAGATCTTTGTTGACCGAGTATCTTTTATTAAAAAGGTTTTTTTATTTTCTACCATGATTATGATTTTTGTTACACATTCCATTTTTTCACTTAGAAGTTTTTAGTATTCTTGACTTTCTATAGGGATGAAGCTTGACAAAATCTGTTTAAATATAGCCATATGAACACTGAAGTTGGCCTGCTGAAATGATGCTATTCATTTCAAATGCTTGATAAAAATGTCACAAAATAGAGCTATAGAAGGTGTTTTGGCAGCTGCAGCAGTACCAGTCACAGCATCTTTGTAATTAGTGTTATCTAAAGCTTATTTACTATTCAGATTCACTGAGATTTACTGCCAAATTAACAGTTTTTGCTCTCTTAGGACTTTTTAAATAACATGGTCCAGCACACAGCTTTATTTCTAGCTTGCCTCAGTTATCTTTTTTTTACTTTTTAATGAAGCTGATTATTTGCTTATGTCTTTTATTCTGTTTTTCTGATGTGCTGTCTTTTTTTTTCTGACAAAGTTCAAAGTAAAACATGTACAGATTTGGGATTAATATGGGAAAACTCTACAATCATGAATAAGTATAAAGGAATGAAGAAGAAGTCTATGATGCTCTCCTGGCCTGATCCGTTACCTGGTAGTTGAGGCAATCTGTTAGAAGGAGGCATTAATGATGCAGAAAACCTTGTTTATTACCACAGGCACAGCCAGAGTCTTTTTTGCTGAAAATGAAGACTTAATGTCTGAAGAGGGGGTAGAGGGTAGCAATATCTTTTTGGCAAATGCCAAAAATACCCTGCTGTTTTATCACAAAGGTAAAAGGACTTCAAAACTGCAGCTGATGGACTGGTTTTGTGGTAGAGAGAGCATTAAGCTAAGAGTTTACCACTTGGCTTTTTAGTCCTATGTGGAAAAAAGATTTAACTAATTCCTTCCCCTTCATTGCTGTATTCCCTCTGTTGGCAGTAACAGGGTAAAGCTGTGAGGTCTTTCTGTATGTCGGCTGGGAGGGAACATTAAGGAAGGCTGACGTCCATCTTTCCTCTCCCACATTCAGGCCTGGTCAGAAGAGGTCAAGTCCTAGTGCCTAAGCACACTGTGATTCAGCACTCACTGTAGTCAATTGAAGTCTTCTTCCTACCTGACTCGGTCTTTGGGTTGAGGGTTCCAGGAAGGAAAGCGCTGCCTGTTAGCTTATGCCTTCTTGTGAGGGTGCGGAACAGCTACAAGAAAGAGCAGGACAGCATTGTCTATTATCACTCCTGTCTGCTTCCTAATGAAGAAAGATGGGAGAGCAGGGCCATACTTTATCACTACTGGTCACCAGCAGAGTTCAGCAGCTGTAGGATGGGTCATATGCGCTTTCCTTGAACTGGAGTCAGCAGTTGAGCGAGGAGGCTGTTCCCCTATGTCATTCCCCAGCACTGACTCCGTGTGAAAAGGTATAATGGGGTCCTCTGTTGTTTTGCAAGTGGTAAATTGTCAGACTGTAAGACATAACGCTTGAGGAGTCTCCTTTTTCTCTTCTGTACTGATATCAGACCCTAGCCTTTCTGGTGTGCTGCATGGCACTCCTTCAGAGATTGTCCATGCCTTTGAGAAGCATCTAGTCCCTTGATAAAAACTTAAACAATAGGTATTCTTCAGAAGCATAAAACCAAAATGTGCACTTCAACTCCCAGTAGATTGTCAGATTTATTAATGCCCCAAGTGGAATTGTTTTGAAGTTTTCTGAGATTTTTTTCATGGAGGTTTATTTCTGTCTGAGTTTTGAGAATATAATGCTTGATTTTTCCTTCTTAATGTGATTTGTTAGCAAAGAGAAAGGAATGCTAAATATTTTATTTCCCTGTCTAACAAATCCATATTTCATAGCATTCACAGAAGCTTTGTCAGAGTGCTACCACCATTTAAAACAAGGTTGAGAACCTGTGAAGCTACATTGGACAATATTGTTCAATAGTTCTACATCTGAAAGGTGTGTGGAAGCCCCTCTGAATCCTTTGTAAAAGGCTCTGCTCAAGATAACTGATAATAAAGGATCAGGACTAATTATTTATCGTTCTCTTGTTATCCGAGTTATGGAAGGAGAAAGAGAAGAGGTGAGTAAAGTGATTTAATTAAACCATTATTTTCTTAATTCGTCTGTAAATACCACCTGGCACCATATAATGGATAGATCACAGCTCATCAGTCATGGCAGTGAAACGCCAACATGGGCTATCTCTGGGTGCTGACTAAGTGAGAGCCTCCTCAATTGTCCCCTTGTCCCCCAGCACTTTTCCCCTGG